TAACATTTGCAAAAAAAAATAAATTTCTTTTTTATCTTTTAATTTAGTTTTTATATTATTCCAAAAAATAATCCCAGGCGTTTCTGTCGGTTATAAAGTATTGCCAGACCTCTCCAAACATATTTTTTTTAAATTCCCAAAGAATATACTTTTGGCAATCTAGAATTTTAATCACGTATTTATTGAGTAATTTTTAATAATACCTGCAAATCTCCAGACGAATTTAGCGGTTTTAAACAATTCCCAGACGTGAATAAAGTTTACAAATGAATACTACAAAAAAGTCTTATGCGTAGCCATAAGTGCGAGAAAGATAGCTTATCGAAGCATGCCGACAGCGGATGGGGGCCTAAGCTCTTCGCGCTGTGATTAGTTACTAAGAAATATCGTTTTTAAAGATTTTAAGACTAAATTCTTGTTTTGGGATTTAGCATGTATGTATGCGCATATATGACCATGTAAATATATGTGTATATAGTTTGAATTATTTTAGATCAATGCTGTAATAATTTGTATAATAGCTATGTCTTGTCTTGATAATTACCACCCCATGATCTTACAAAAGGACAATATGTATAAAGTGCTTACCGCCCAGAGATGAAGGTGGAAAAAATAACAAGTTGCACGTTCTCTACAGCCGTGACTTTTTTCAGTGATTTAGTACAGATATAGATGACTTTTGAACTACCTAAATGTAGTTATGTATGAGCTACATTATTGTTAAATTTCTTTAAAATACATTTGGTAGTTTTTGAGTGGAAGATAACAAACATCCATACAGCCTCACAAACTTTCACGTTTAGAATATTAGTAGGATTCAAGTCAATCATTTCTTATTAATTACTATTAAGACTAAAAAAATCAGAAACTAGGCCCAAAGGACCTTCCCGAAATTCGTCGCCAGCTCTCAGGCTATAAGAGTAACTTTCTATCTAAAAACAGAATCGCGGCTGAGATTTTTGGAACGAATTTTTTTATCGGACGGTACGGGTTTGGCGGATGGGAGCTAGGCATCAAAAAGTGTAAGATTTTTTCGTCACTACCCCTTGTGTCATAGTGTAGACGGCCTTGGCGGCGAAATAAGGAAGTGAGATGGAATAATATCCATCTCCCTCGCACTTTTTCTTTTCTTGCCGTGAAAGAAATATTATTTTATTTTAAATGACGCTTCATTTTAATAGACGCTAGTAATTCATTTATTTGTATTTGTTAATCAATAATATAATACCTACGTTTATCAATAATAATATACTACGCAAGGAACTTCGTTCCAACCGAGTGTTACACGACACTCACGCATTTTTTTAATAGTATTCTATTACAGTAAAATCCTATTCAATAATTTATCAAATATGATATCAGGAAAGAGTAGTAGTAAGAGAGTAGAAGTAAAAGAGTAGTAGTATTAGAAAGAGTACTTTAGTTAAACAATACTTTTCGTAATTTGTACTCATCTCAATTATTTTTTAACGATAACAGTAGGTAGAGCTCCTTTTCTGCCTAGATTTTAATAGGAAGAAATTTTTAACACATTAGTAGCTACTCAGAAATGATATATTATAATAGAATAATCAGGCTTTTTAAATAATAAATTGATATTGAATTAAAATGTCATTTTTCTAAATGTCACTGTTTGTGTTTATCTATACTCGTATAAACAGCATCATTCAACTCCTATATCAGTTTCATCACTTCATCAGCATCAAAAGTCGTAAGTTTTATAATAACTTACCAAAATTAAACATTTTAATAACCCCCGAAAAGTAGGCCTCGGGAGCGCTACTCCCGAGCGCCAGCAGCCTACGCACACTACGACTACACACGAACCAAAGTCAAAACTTCATCGTGAAATGGAATAACTATAAAAGCTTAAAATTTTCTAATAAAAGCTCTGAAAATATAGCGCAAGAATCCACTATAAATTTTAGAATACTTGAGGAAATTCTCTTAAATAACCACCTACTTCTACAAAATTTATCAATATTTTAAGACCGATGTGTGGAAATAACACTTGATCCGCACTTGCGACTTCCCTGGCCAGAGTTCTGGTTTTTCTCTGAGGTTTTGTTTTCTGAACGGGTGCAGAATTCGACGATCATAATAGCTTTAAATTTAAGCAAGCTTAAACAGAGTGAAGTTTTGATTATGAACATTTTTTCAGTGCAGGGCCTTGTCAGGCTGGAGTTTATGGTATCTTGCACCATGTGCGACGTAAATAAAACAAAAAAGTATTGTGTAAAACGCTATAATTAAATTCATGTGACAATGTTAAAAATAATTTTTTTAGGTACAGTTCTTAGTAATTAAATCTGTGCTGTTACACTCGATATTTGTATATTGTGATTAGATTGCCATTCTTTCCATCAAGATGTGGTCTAATTTTGCTATTTATTCGATCTTAAGAGAAACGGTACCAATTGTGTATACACAATAAATAAACACCTTACAGCGATCAGAAAAGTATAAATAAATGTCAATAGATGTGGAGTCAGCATTAGCAGAATTAGCTCACATTGCAAATCAGAGGAGGTATCTTTCTCGTTCCCATAGTGAATAATCAAATATCATAAAAAAATATATTAAACGAAAAATATAACAAAAAAATTCTTCGTATTATGGATTTCTGAAAAGCTGTTTTAAAGACTGTAAGTATGAATCCAAAAACTCACTTCTTCCAATATTTGAAGAAGAAAAAAAGAAAGTTTTCAGATAAAAGTGGAATATAATATTATATTTGAAAATGGTCAAAAATTTAATTGAAACGATGACATCATATTATACGTTGCTTAAATATTATATCGCAAATACATAGATTTCTTGTCATATTTCCCAGTAGTGAGGTGATAAAGTAATCAATAGTATGAATAGAAGCATGTAGATTGAACGAGAAAGAACCTCCACAGCAATAGCGTACAAATTTCAACTTAAAGCCATCATGACAAACGATCATCATACAGTGTCGAGTGTTAATACAAGCTTCTCAGATTTAAGAAGAGTTTTGATTGGTCGACATCACTAGACATATAAAGACCGATTAAAGCGAAGCTTATAGGAATAATAACTACCTAATTACCATTCACCAAATACACAAATCACCAAAGGCTTTTCCACACAAACACTGTATTTATAGTAGATTAATAAATAGTTAAATTCGACTAGTGGTTTCCTCCCTTCTTCTGTAAGTAAGAGTATTACTATGCAAGAAATTTTAGATAAAATATATTAACACATATTACCTTCAATGCCATTCTCCCACTTGTAAAGTAAGGGACGCAAAAGGAAACCTTTGATATATAGTTGTAATTTTATAGGATTTAACTCTATAATAATATAAACAAGTGTCCATGTGCATATAAGCCCATGATATCACACACCTTAACAATTAAACAATTAATGTAATAATAAAAACAGTGAATATGCATGACTACAACGGAAATAAATAACATCGCATAAAATGTGAGTTTTAGCAACAAAAGTAATTTTTCAAATTTAATGTAATCTTATACGTAAATAATTATATAAATGCCTCGACTATCATATTTGTGGTTAAGCGCATTGGCGTCTACAGAGCGTGTTTTTGCTAAAATATTATGTATCTATGCCAACATACTTAAGAATGTTACCAAAATATGGCTATTTAAAAAAAAAGTCGCAGTGTGGTATTTTAAGTCAGGTAAAAACCTTACAAAATATACTAACTTATATGCAAATTGCAAATGTAATACCCACCATAGGCAAAAGTTGTAAGGTTACTACGCTGTAATCGCCAATACGAAAAGCTGTTGGATATCTTATGATTAATTAAAATAAAAACAAAACTACGTTAACAATCCACACAACGCACACGTCACTGCAGACCTTTTATTTAGACCCAAATTTTATTTAAAACATAAAATAAGATTTTATATTATGCATATTTATTTTTTATATAATTTTTCATTTGAAACACATCAACTACTCTTTTGAAACTACCTGACCATGACATTGAAATTAAGTACTGCATATATGTTTGTACGTCATAGCGCAAGAAAAGAATTAATAGTAAGAATTTGAATTGTATTTTACAGGATAATATTATCGTAGATGAAAAAAAAAATCAATCAAATGTTAACGGCTGCTTATTTTGATCAAGCCTTATTTAAAACCTAATAGATAGGAAAGGGAATGTGCATTATTTTTTCTTCGGCTATAGATTCGTACGATTAATATCTAAAATCAAATTCTTCACTATTAGTTGATGTGTTACATTGCGAAGCTATGAGAGATTTTGATGGAAATTTAACTTCGTACACAATCGACGACGAAGTATCGCAAGGAACCAATATATTAAAAATAATTTGAGGCTTCATCATTATCGATGTACCTTGTTTCACTTAAAAACATTATTTAAACGATAAAAAGATGTCGGTAGTAATCCGGTGTCCGCTAAATTTCCCTCAAACCCAATGTTTCCACCACCACTCAGTCTTTCAATTCATAAAACTTTATATATATATGTATATAATATGCATGTAACAAGCAACAGTTAAGTGAAAATTACAATAGATCCCAAATATACAATAAAACCTCATCCATAACTCACTCTCCAGTGTTTATTTTGTGGTCAACTACTAAAGTTTCATGTTTTATACATTAACAATAGCGAAGCGTGTAATTTGTGGTCCGCATTTTAAGGTTTTATGTTGAATTAATATATGCACACGGCAGGAAGAAATTTGTACATAAAATTATATACACAAACATGAAACTTTAATAAATGATTGCTCAACAATATTTAAAATAAACATGGTACAGATGAATTTGTGGCGAATATTTATCACAAGTTGATTTACTCTGATGCCGGATCATCGGCTAACGGATACGTGATTATAAATAGTTTTCGCTTAGAAAAGCTGATTTATCAAAGTATTAAAAAAATAATAAAAATACATATACTTATATAAATTTCATGTTATAGAGCTCTAAAAATTTTGTATCGCAACCAAGCTGACGTCCTAAGTCTATTTCTCTTTTTTCTCATCAGGAGTGCTCGTGGAATGATCAGTCTCTTCTAACTCCTCATCGGAGTAGCTCGTTGGCTCTTCTCCAGGCTTTAAAAGTCGTCCGACGAGATCGTATTTTTCTGCAACGAAAAATTCATGATTTTAATTTCATTTAGTCTTAAACAAAACTAGAGGCACCGCCACGAAAGAAATCCATGGCATCGTTTTTTTCGAAGTTGATATTTTTAATCAAATTCGTAAAGGGGCATGCCAAAAGAAGTAAGATTCTCTTTACTCATATGTTTAATACCAGCAAGTTATACATCATCGTAAAGGCACAGTCTAAACAGAACACACAGTCAGTCATCGCGTTTGACCTGACCTGACAGCCCAAATCGCGTGACCAATTTTGATTTGTCATTGTGTGCGTTAGCTAGTGATGTACATTTTACTTACAAGGACTGTCGAAAAATGATTGTTAAGGAAGCGGTAAAAATTATCAAATAAATATTTTACTGCACGAAATTGAATAACTTCAAAAATTAACTGAATTTTACAATGATAGTTTTAAAATAATTAAAAAATATCCATATATGGATAGTTTCCCCGGAATTTCTTTTTTAATATATTGTTAATAGGTATAAATAGGTTGATACTTAACTAAGTATATACCTATATATATTTCATATATTTTACAAAATGTTTTGATGGTTAAATAAAAAACGGGGATATGGAGTACATAATGGCTGCTTTATTTTTCATATAAGTATTACTTTTGATAATTACAAACACTTAATAATTAAATACATTATAGAAGTTTGTTTTAACATTCGACTTAAATATGAATGTAAATTTAATAATACAAATAAGGAAACTTGCAGGAATCAGTTAAATAAGATTGCTGTTTAAAGGCCAATATGTTTATGAGGCTTCATCATGCTTCATGTTTATATTCTTTCATCTGTCCCTGAAAAGTATAAAGTACAATAACAATTAAAAACTACCGATTGAATTACCAAAATTGACACTTTAATTACACAACACTAATTACAATCTAAAATCACACTAATAATAAAACACAGTTCGCCGTTATTTCGCTTCGAAGTATTCTCTTGTATCGCCAATTCAATACTGCCCCGGTCGTGGTCTATACCGGCCTTATATAGGGCCTCAGATAGTTTCCAGAACCTTCTACTGTAGCGACATCTAGAATGTTCGAGTACATATCGGTCCCGAAATTTCTGGAAGGATCTCGACTCTCCTAGTTCTGCTACTCGACACTAGAGGGCGCTAGTGTAACTAGTGTTGCCATGTACAAAACATTAATAGTGGCGCGCAACACTTTCTTTTACTCGACACTAGAGGGCGCTAGTGTAACTAGTGTTGCCATGTACAAGACATTAATAGTGGCGCGCAACACTGCCCCCTCCTAAGACATGCTCGTCCCGAGCATTATTGGCCCCATAATAACGCGCCAGTCGATCCACATGGACAATCTTAGGAGTACCTCTGGTACCTTTCTGTATTCTCGGTAGGTTATGTCATTGATCCTTGTCACAATCCGGTACGGTCCGTCCCATTTAGCTTGAAGCTTAGGAGATTTCCCTTTGCTGCGAACTGGATTGTGTAACCACACTAGTGAACCTTCATCAAACCCCTTGTTGTTCATTTTGCGGTCATACCGTGTTTTCATCTTCTCAGACGTTTGCTGGCCCGTCTGTCTGACGTGCTCATAAATGTCATTCATTTTGATCCGCAAGTCACTTGCATAATCGGTTATACTGCGTGGGGCATCAGGTGGTATTCCGGTGATCAGGTCTGCAGGCAGCCGCAATTCTCTCCCAAAGTTTGCGAAAGCTGGTGTCACTGATGTACTTTCGTGAACAGCGCTTCGATATGACAACAAAAACGGTTGTATGTGCCTGTCCCAGTCTCGTTGTCGTTTTTCCACAACTTTTGCCAGGTACCTTTCCAATGTCTGATTAAATCGTTCTACCATTCCACCAGATTGTGGGTGGTAAGAAGTTGTTCGTGTTTTATGAGTACCCATAACTCTGCAAGTTTCCTGGAATATTTAGAACTCGAAATTCCTTCCTTGATCGCTGTGAATCTCTAAGGGTACTCCAAAACAACAGAAGACTTCATGAACTAGTTTATCTGCAACTGTTGAAGCTTCTTGATTTGGAATGGCGAAGACTTCTGGCCACTTAGTAAAGTAATCCATCACAACCATGAAATACTTGTTACCACTTTCACTTTCCGGAAACGGTCCCGCAACGTCAATGGCTATCCTCTCCCATGGTGCACCAACATTGTACAATTTCAATGCGCCTCTACTACGAATTTGAGGTCCCTTTACAGCCGCACAACTTGTACATTTGCGGCACCAGACCTGAACAACCACTATGGTACAGCTGTAGAACATCCGGTACTTTAGCCTTAGGGACAATCATTTGCAAATGACAACTGTCTCCCCGACCATTTTCCCATTTACGGCACAGGACTCCATCCTGAATCAGCAAGCTGTCCCATTGGGCCCAATAGCTTTTCGTGGTCGAACTCATTGCTGAGACGTCGCTCCACTTGCGCTTAGGAGCACTGGCCTTCATCCATTCCAGAATCAATGCAATCAGTGCAATTATTAGGATTATTTCCATTATTGACACTACAGTCAATCACAGAACAAGTAACCATTTTGGAAAAAAGTTACTTACTAAAAATAAGCACTATTACACTCTAAAAAATTATAAAATATCTAGAGGAGCTATTTCTTACGTGCCGACTCATGTCATGAGATTTGGTATTCTTTTCTATTTTGCCATAAGAAATTTTCTTCTTCCTTGCACACTATGTCGGTCTATACACCAGTATATATAAGTCTATGGTCTAAACTTTAATCTTTCGTCGTTTTCACATGAAGTAATAAAAAATAAAAAAATGTTTTTTTTATTACACGTGTAAACAAATTAAATAACTTAATCAGACAAATGGTGTTCAGAATTAATAAAATAGAATAACCTATTTATATAAATAACCAGAGTTACAAAAAATATATAAAAAAATAGTCAACTATCGAATAACCAGCTAATAACGTATCAAATTTTTTTTTTAATTTAAATACAATATGTTGAAATGTATTATTTTTCAGCCATGTTATTATTTATTAGTTTTTAACGTAACTCAACTACCCTATTGGAATCAAATCAAAATATAGGTCTCCCAAAAGGAATGCCACAAAGCACGGTCCTGAGCCACTTGCATCCATCGACTTCCTGCATATCTTATCAGGTTGTCACTCCATCTAGTACTAGATATTAAATACTTGTTATATCGCCGTTTTGTTTACCGCACACGTAGTGTGAACCGTTTTAATTTATTTGTAACGTAACAAAAAAGCTCTGTCGAACAGCTCCCAAACGGCTAACAAGTAAATGTTAGCCGTTCGGGAGCGCTCCGTCTGCGTCCTTTCTCGCACCGCACCGCACGATTGCCCCATCTAAGACGCCTTCAATGACTGAAGGTTAGTAGTAATTAGACTGTGGTAAAGGCTTGCTTTTTTCCATTCATTAGAACCTATTCAAAGTCCACTGCTGAACATAGACAGATTATATATAGATTAGCTATTTTATTATATAGATTACACTTAGTGGCCGCAGTTTTTTTTATTACATATTTTGATTTGTAATCGGAATGATGCTGCGGTCCATCTTATGTTTCGTTTATCTTTTTAGCGTCTTACGACACCCACGGCTTACAAATGCTGGACATTTAATAATAAATTTGAGAATCTAGCGGTAATTCGATTGAGCAATGGGGCTTTAGTCGACATGATTTTCGCGCCGGTCACAAGAAATATCAGAGCAGTCGAAAAACTTTTTCGAGAAAACCGACTAATAACGGCTTGAGCTAGAACTGAATATCGGATTAGCAGCAAGGCAAGCCATCATTCACGTTCAACTTTTTCTCTGTAAGCGTTGTTCGAGATGGGTGCTTACTAATCTACCGTTGCGCACAAACACCGTTAGTTTTGATATTCAGTCACTATTCACTTGCTTACCTATTGAAGACTGCATCTCAATTGTAACTAGGAAGCTAGAAGTTAACAACATGCCTACAGAATATGCAGTATTACTCAAACACTGATTGTAACAGTATTACTCACATCTGGCTATCTATTGTGGAAGAAAGAGTTCTACAAGCAAGCAGACGGTGTGGCGATGGGCTCACCTGTATCTCCCGTAGTCGCCGACATATTTATGAAGGATTTTGAGGAGAAAGCCCTTCTTACTGCTCCTGTATATCCAAGATTCTACAAGCGATACGTAGACGATACTTTCAAAATTTTACCATCTGACAAAGTAACTGCATTTTTAGACCACCTTAATTCCATAAACTCTAAAATACAATTCACAATGGAGTTAGAAGCAAACAATTCTTTAGTTTTCATAGATGTTTTAGTCATCCGAAGACCTGATAGCACTTTTAGTCACACTGTGTATAAGAAAAAGACCCATAACCGATATTTAAATGGTGAATCGCACCATCATCCATCACAGTTAGCTACCGTGAGAATATCTTTGTTTCAAAAAACACGAGGGATCTGTGACAGATAAAATTTGACCGCTGAGCTTCAGCACGTCGAGCAAATATTGCAAGACAACAAGCTTCGGGTCCCGTACCTACGTCACAGTGACCGAGTGAAGCCGGCCACAGTCGAGCGTGTGCCTGTTGTACTACCCTATGTCAGAGGAGTTACAGACAAGGTTGGCTACATCTTGAAGCGAGCTTCCATTAAAACATACTTCAAGCCGCCGGAGAAGATTAGTAAATTTTGGTCTCTCTTACATAGGACAAACAAAAAGATCTATAAAAACCCGCGTAAAAGAACATATAGCTGATTTGATCCAACGACTTTCTGGGAAGTCTGCAGTTTGTGAACATGTTCAAGATCGTCCCCGCCATTACATTAGATTTGATAAACCACAAATCCTCGCAAAAGAACACCGATTCCTACCAAGGATGATTCGCGAGGATATTGAAATTTAAAAAAAACATCCCAATTTCAATACAGAAGATGGATGGGTGCTGCCATCTGCTTGGGTTCCTATAATTAATAAAATTAAATCCAAACCCAAGTATG